ATTGCTCGAACTGATGTAGTCAAAGACCTTAGAGTGCTAGTAGACTGTAAACTATTGTTCAAATCTCACGTCACTAACATTTGTGGTACCGGTCTCAAAGAGCTCGGGATGAGCTCACGTTTGACTCGACACTTCCAGGCACCTGATACTATAGACGCTTTCAGCGAGTCAGTTACTCGAGCTGCCACCAGTCGGCGCGCCCTTCGCGCGCTTTCCGGGCCGCCATAGCCGACCTTCAGTTTCTCGCCGTTGCTCCGCGTTGTGTGCAGCACAGGCCACTACCGGAGCTTCGTTTTCGTGTTCTTTTACGTTGCGCGTTGAAATATTTTATTTTCTTTAAGTCTTTTCGATATTTAGGACTTTCATTTGATATTTATATTTCGACATAGCTCTTGTATTTTCTTATTTATGGAATGGAATCGGACAACGAATGGGTCGACGATACTTGTGAGGCTTCAATGACCATGTAAGTTCATCCCATTCTTACGTTTTTGTCGCTAATAGAGGGCAGTCAACACTATTGCGACATATGCAAATTGCAACTGACGCAGTAAGGCTATCGCAGTCGTTCTTCTCGCTGCATGTGCGCGCTCGTTTCCGTAAAGCCGACCCGCATATCAGCGATTTAGCGTGCGACGAGACGAGCGACGGAGATTTTTTTCTTTTTCTTTATTTACAAATACTGTCGCCTGTTGCATCGCTCGTTTTTTTGGGTTTTTAGAAAACGTCGCTCACCGTCTTGGTCGCTTGCTCCGTCACTTCCATGCGGTTTGCCTCGTCGCGCGACTGACACTGAGCGACAGCAAAGCGGGTCGCCGTCGCTTATCTGGTCGCTCGCCAAATCGCTTACATGCGGTTTATACTCAATTAATTTCCATGCACACAGCAATGAACCATTGGCGCCTCGATATTAAGTATAAACCGCGTGCAAGCGATTCGGCGAGCAACGAGACAAGCGACGGTGACCCCCTTCGCTGTCGCTCGGGCAGTCGCGCGACGAGGCAAACCGCATGAAAGCGACGGGAGCAAGCGACCAAGACGGTGAGCGACGTTTTCTAAAAACCCAAAAAACCGAGCGATGCAACAGGCGACAGTGAGAAATTTTCGTCGCTGACTCTCGTCTTGTCGCCGTCGCTCGTCTTGTCGCACGCTAAATCCTTTACATGCGGATCGGCTTTACGGAAACAAGCGCGCACATGCAACGAGAAGCACGACTGGATAGCCTTACTGCGTCAATTGAAATTTGCATATGTCGCAATGGTGTTGACCGCCTTTATTAGCGAGAAAAACGTTAGAATGGGATGAACTTACATGGTCTCTGAAGCCATAATCGTGTATCGTCGATCCATTTGCTGTCCGATTCCACTTCATAAATAAGAAAATACAAGAGATATGTTAAAAATATAGATATCAAATGATTAAATGAAAGCCCGAAATATCGAAAAGACCTAAAGAAAACACACTATTTCAGCGCGGAACGTAAAGGAACGCGAAAACAAAGCTCCGGTAGGGGCCGGTGCAGCACTCAACGCGGAGGAACGGCGAGAAACTGAAGGGCAGCTATGGCGGCAGGGTCACGTGACGCCAAGATGGCGGCGCCCATGAAATGTTGCCTGAAAGGGTCTATATTAGGCTTATTTTGTGCTTTGGTTAGGCCACGACTTGAATTTGCGTCTGTTGTGTGGAACTTTCTGTCACGTAGCGATTGCAGATGCATTGAAATGGTACAAGGGCATCTGATACACATAGTCTATGATAGGCATTTTAACAGGAGACTATTTTGAGTATAATTTTCTCGTTAAAAGTTTTAAACCTCAGAACCCTAATTGATTACAGGCATTGTTGAAATGGGGTGTTTTTACAGAAACTCATACAAGGTCGTTTCGGTGTACCTGATCTTTTGAGTAGTACAAGCCTATGTGTGCCAGCTAAACACGCGCGACTCTGCGATAGTTTTATCCTGACAAGCAGATTAAAAGGTCACCAATGCATAGAATTCAAACTTTTTTGTAATAGCCTTGTGCAGCATGATTTCTTTTCCGTGCGTTATTTTACTTTGAATACCGAGTTGTGTTTGTAATTTGTTTTATTATGACTTATGTGTCACTCCTGTATTTCACGTCTTTGCACGTTGAGCTCACTTGTGACTTCTATGTGCACCAATATCAAAGCCTTCAAGGTGTTTTGGGCACGCAATAAACACCAATACTAAAGGTTCAAATTCAATTTAGATTCAAATTCAATTCAAAGAATAAGGCACTGACAAGCACACATGCAAAGAGAACACTTGCTGCTGCATGTGGCAGAACGTACAGCATGTGCACTACACTTGCAGCATGCTCTTTGGTGCTTGGATAATTTAGACAATTTTCTGGTAAAGATGACTGAAAAGCTTGAGCACCTACATTGGTGTAGCTATGCCTATCCACTGGTGCTTTCTGAGCCCTTGAAAACACTGTTTTTAAATTATGCATGTCCCATGTGCCTTCCCAAGTTCAATCCTCTACCGGCACATCTTGTTTTTAAAGCTCTCCACTCGAAGAAGACGAAGCTAATGACATCTTCAACATCCGAGAGAGGAGAGCTCATTAGCGCCGGCATTCTTGAATGCCAACATCCTCACCAACGTCAATTTCCCAATCCTCTCTCTCTGTTTACTTCTTTGTGCCTACAATGACATGTTTCCTTCATTGTACCATAAGAAATGTGCCAAGATTTATTCACCCAGAACTTTTGTTTGAGCATTTGAAAAAGAAGGGGAAGAGCCCCTGCAAGCCATGCGACAACGTTGCAGCTAACTCCCTCTTTGCAGAGATGCCCTGCTTGGTTTACACAGATTAGCTTCTGCCATTGGCCAAGACGCTCAAACCGCACACCCTGCAGCATTGAGATCCTCATCATCCTTGCTAGGTATATTGCTTTGTTTGTTTACATTCAGCCTTTCAAACCTCCTCTTGAGAAAAGTACACTTTAAGGTTAGATTAGAAGACCTTGCATCTGGTGCTATGACACTAAAGGAAGGACGTCTGGTGCTATGACACTAAAGGAAGGACGTACACTGTACTTGTGAGTTTAGGGCGAAGAAGAAGCAACTGACATGCCACAAACACTGCCAACCACCACGTTTGCTGGAGTTGCTATAGGCCTTCTCAAAATTAGCTCCCTGGAAGGCACTAATATGCGACTCTCACGACCCCCGTCAGCCAGAAATTTCAACCACACTCCTGCTTTTTACGATCAGAGTTTGCCACTGTTTCATGCAAACTTTTGCATTATTTGCTTATTCAGGACGGTTACCTCTTTTGTGTCACCTTCCACCGAGAACCAGGGAATACCAGGGCTCATAGCATGCATGAACTTCACAGAAAACGAACGAAAAGAGCAAATGTCAACATTCTTTAAGGATTACCTCTGCAGGGATAACCTCTTGAAAGCCATGATGGTCTTATCGAAAAAGTTTGCAATCAAGATGCAAAAATTGTACCAGGATTACTTGGAGGTATGCTTATTATTCTGTGGTAAGGGTACTGTGAACAGGTTGCTTTGTATCTTTTGCCATCGGGACATCGAAATTCTGTGCTTTTCGAAAAAATCTGAACTGACAAAAGTTTTACCGGCGAGCGTTTTTCGGATGTATCTGTAAACAGAATCTTACTTATAACTTGCTTATGCAGTAAATATGAGCATGCTCATACAGCAGGGTTACTTTCGAGCTTTAAACGGTGGTGGTGGTGGGGAGAATGGACAGGATGGCAAAGTAGCGGCGGCGGTGGCGACTGTGTGGCGGCATTACCACCGAGCAGAGCAGCTCCTCTTGCTGCACCAAGTGGCGCTGGGAGCTGCAGCTCTGTCACTACACTGCTGAGACCGGATGCTCCAAGTTCCCAATCTGCGAGCGCTCACCGTTTGTCAGGGGAGGGGGCGATTAGACCCTGGACGCAATGGCTGAATAGGCCTCGATCGCTGAGCACTTTTACATCCCTTGCACCATGAACAGAGCCGAGAGTCGCGAAGGTAAGCGAATTGAAACTGGAGCACTCAGTGAGGTGATCCAATTTCAAACTCTATTCCCTCAACCAATGACCTCGTGACATGCTAAAGATGTATAATGACAAAGCCCATAATCACACCGGCTTTGGGCAACGCTGAGGCCAAAGACTTGACAAATGCCACAGATATCCAAAAGATATGTTGCACTTTAATGGCTGCTTGCCAGGGTCATGAATGTAGCAAGAAAACTAAGGCAGACCTCAAATGCACGTAATTATTAGTATTACTTGTATTCGATGTGTACGTCCGATTCAATTTCAGTATTCCTACCAACAAAGTATACATAGCTTGCAAGCGTCACCACTGCTGGGTACTGACGGTTATTTCCGCTTACATGTTTCTTTGAACTACAACTTCTGCGGTGTAAAACATAACAGGGCGAACCGAACGCACGCAGCGCATGAAGTACTGGTATGGTTGATACAAACGGAAGATATGTCAAGTTGCTGTCCTTCATAAAGCTTTTGTGACTATCTCTCGTTTAGGAAGCGAAGACGAGTTCCAAGTTTTGAGGTCAAAAGCGAACTCCACAGGTCCGCATTGAGCGTACAGCGTAGGGCAAAATCGCGGAGAGTAGGCGTCGCCTGAACTTTTAACAAAAAGGTGCGATTTCCGATGAAGCAAAGTTCTAGGTAAACTCGCCGTGAAAGGCAACACGCAGCAATGGTTTCGAAGTAAGCCCGTCTCGTGGACTTCGATGGCATTTCCGCTCGCTCGACTGATCAAGCGACATGAAGTGTCATGGCGGGAGCGCCAGCACAAACAAATCGCCGCCCCAGATCACTGCAACTTTCGCCGGCACGTTTCTCACTCAACTCACGCTCAGTCACGGTCTGTACCCTCTTGGCACTCGGTTACAAACGTTGGCACACGGTTCCGAACGTGTAATCGGCGTGAGTTAAGGCGCTCTCCTGTGTGGCAAAGAAAGGAGACGCAAGATGAAGCCTTACCTGGTGCCGTCTGGCAGGTTTCGAACAAAGAGCGACGAATTCGGGGGGCGCGAATAACGCGAAGACATCTTCGCCGCCGCGACAGGTCGGACCTACAAATTTCTGCAGTCCAACTAGCGAACACACGCAACAAAAAAAGAATCCCAGCAACCTAGTAAACAAGCGACCACAACTCCTAGGGCAAATGGGGCCACCGACGCTAGCTTGAAGATTCGAACGACCAATGTTTCCGACTGCGTGATTCGCAAAAATGCTCGAAGGCCATACTTAACATAAATCCTGTTTAAAGAAAAATGCAAGTAACCCAGATAAGTAAAAAAAAAATATTATTACGCTAAAACACTGAAATATTTATATCCGTTATTTTCTTATGAAGAGTTCAACTGAAACAACTAGACTATTCAACAACCATCGGTGGTGCGGCCATGCGGCCACCGGCCGTCTTGCATGTTATTAATCGTGTTTTTGGAGCGTTGCGGAGGCTTGCGGCAGCGTGCTCAAGACACGTTTTCTATGCGATCGTCATCATTCGCAAAAGAAGCTCTTTCACACCTTGTGTAAGCCGTGAGACTTGCTGTTAAAAATATGTGGAAATATTTGCGGAAGCGCAGTGCCCAGGAGAAAAGGCATAACTTGTCAAAACTAGTTTCGACAACCTCGCGGCGTGATCAAAGCTTGCTTGGCAAGCCGAAGCACTGCGTCTCTGTGCCTTCGGACGCTTGGATACTGATCAAGAATCGAAACCGTGTGGATGTGTTTTGCGAGTGCAATGTGCGTGAAGCCGTATCTGCCTCTGGAGCAGCGTTAGTGCCACACGGGCAACTCGAATGCCCTTTACAACGAATTACATTCGAGCGGACGGCCAATCTGCGCGAAACTCCGGGCGTAGAGCATTCCACGCGCGACAGATTTCGAGCTGATTCGCCGATAACACAAATGTCATTTGTTGTAAATGGCATTCGAGTTGACCGTGTGGCACGGGTATTACTTTACTCCGATGACTATTTTTGACTTGCGGCAGCGGCACTCGCGGTCCAGAAACGAGCTTGACCCAGCGTATAAATTGCCCCCCCCCCCCCCCACCTTTATTGATAGCAACTCGCCGGAACAGTTGGATGATCCAGAACTTCGTGGCCGATATATGATACAAAGACGTATACGCGAGACGCACCTTCAAAACCTTGCCGCGGCATCGATTCTTGATCGGTATCCGATCGTGCGAAGACACAGAAACGCAGCATTTCGGTGTGCCAAAGAAGCTTTGATCACGACGCGAGACCGCTGAAACTTGCTTACGACAAGTAGGTTGTTGACTTTTTTTTTTTTTTTTTTCTTGCAGTGACTTTACTTTAAAGGGATACTTCAATGAAATTTGAAATATTCCCGTCGTGTTCAAAAATAGGTTGAATATGATCCACATTATCCGTAAATGACAATCGCACGTTTGTATTTTGAGCCTGGTGGCTGTATTTTTCGTTATAAACGGCCCACTTTGGCAAGCGCTCGGAGAAGGCCCAGCGGAGATCACGTGACATCCAACGCAATCGTGACGTAGGATCGTCTCAAGACGACCAAAGCTACGGCGAGGCTGACGTCGAGAGGATGGCCTAGTCGCCTAGTCGTTCCAGCCACCGAAGCGGCTGCTTTTGTACAAATTTAACTCATGTTTACAAACAAATGGATGGATGGATGATGGATGGATGAATACGGCTGAGCCCTTTGGATCGGGCGGAAGCTTACGCCACCTAGCCATTTTGTTTTACCATTTAAGCTGAGAATATTTAAATGTGAAATCTATATTCACTCCGCAGTGCAAAGAAAGTGAGGCTATGAAACCCCCTTGCCATCAGTGGATAAGAAAATACCTAGTTTTCTCTCGATTTCTTCCACCATTCACTTAATCTTTGCTTGGTAATCTCTACAGTCTTGAAATCCACTCTCCCTTCGCTGTCTCTAAAACCCAATGACTTTATTAAATCTATGTTGTCTTCGGTAGGCATAGGGTGAAGCCCTTTACAGTAGAGTATCAAGTGCTCAGCCGTCTCGTCCTCCTCTCCACAAGCAGTGCACACTGTATCAATTTCCTGGTACTTCACTCTGTATGTTCTGGTTCGCAGAACACCCGTTCTTGCCTCAAACAGCAATGAGCTTCCCCTAGAATTGTCATAAATGCTTTCTTTGGCAATAACTCTTTTGTTTAATCTATAGCTTTCCAGAGCCGTCTTTGTCTGCATTCCCTCTAGCCACCAATCTCTTTCTGTGGCCTTAACTTTCTTCTTAACTGAGACTTGCTCTTCCGTATCTTCGCTATAGCCCAAAAACTTTCCTCTTAATTTCCTAGTGCGCTGTCTCCACTTTGTGTCTACACTCCTCATGTATAAATAGCTGAAAACCTTTCGTGCCCATTGCTCCCCGTCCATTTGCCTCAACCTATCCTCAAATTCTACCTTGCTCACCGCTTCCCTGCTCTCAAATGATGCCCATCCCATGTCTCCTTGTACTCCCTGGTTTGGCGTTTTGCAATGTGCCCCCAAAGCCAGTCTACCTACTCCGCGCTGTTTTATTTCTAGTCTTGCATGCACTTCGGATTTCATGCATAGCACTGCGTTTCCAAAAGTCAAGCCAGGCACCATGACCCCTTTCCAAATCTCTCTCACCACCTCATACCTGTTGTAACTCCAAAGTGCTCTATTTTTCATTACAGCTGCATTTCTGTTGCCCTTACCTATTATATACTTTTCATGGTCTCTGAGATATTCTGCACCATCACATATTTATACTCCTAGATACTTGTATTTACTAGCTCTCTCAACTGTAATATTCTGTATCTTCAGCCTCTCAACTTCATCCTCGTTAAAAATCATGACTGCCGATTTTTCGCTACTGAATTCTAAACCTAATTCCTCTCCTTCCCTACCACAGATGCTCATTAATTCCTGCAACTCTGTCCTGTTGTTAGCCATTAGTACAATATCATCCGCATACATCAATCCCGGTAAGGATTGCTGAATTTTTTGGCCTAGCTTACTGTAAGAAAGGTTGAACCCAAGCCCACTCTTCTCTAGTCTATCCTCCAATCCTCTCAGATACAACATAAACAGCAAAGGCGATAACGGGCACCCCTGCCTAAGGCCTCGTCTTATCTCTATTTTCCCTGTCGCCTTTCCTTCCCATGTTATAATCACCTTGTTATCTTTGTAAATGTTCCTTAATAGTGCTGTTAGTCCTTCATCTAGGTTTAAGTTCTCCATTATGTCCCACAGGTTTCTTTGGTTCACATTGTCATAGGCACCCTTGATATCCAGAAATGCCAGCCAGAGCTGTCTGTTTTCTTTTTGCGCTATTTCTATACACTGTGTTAGAGAAAATAAATTGTCCTCCAACCTTCTTTGTTTTCGAAACCCGTTCTGTAATTCGCCCAGTATGCCCTCGCAATCTACCCATTCCTCCAGTCTGTTCTTTATAATCTGCATTACCAACCTGTAAATAACCGGTGTCACGGTTATAGGACGATAATTCCTAATATCAGACTTATCTCCCTTTCCCTTATATATCATACTCATCCTACTAAGCCTCCATTCATCTGGAATATTTCCTTTTGTTATCATGGTACTCACTACCTCCCTTAGTTTTGCCTTAGATTTAGGACCCAAATTCTTCACCAGCTTGATAGGGATACCATCTGTGCCTGTCGACGTGCCACTAGGGACTCTTCGTTCCGCCTTTTCCCATTCTCTTTGTCCAAAATCCGCGATGTCACAAACTGGACTGCTACTTCCTTCGGTTCTCCTATCTTCCACATGTAACCGTTCCCGAAATTTCTCCTCCATCACTGCTCCTATATATTGTATCGCATCATCTCCCTCTAATTGATCTCCCTGATGCGAAAGTATGAACCTCTGTCTAGCTTGCGTTGTTTCACCGAGTGAGTTCAAGTGCTCCCAAAACTTCTTGGCAGCGTTTCTATCTTTCTTACTTACATTACTCATCCATTCCTCACCCTTTCTCTGAATTTTCGCATTGATCAAACTGGATGCCTCTCGGCGACATGTTATAAAATTGTCCCATTTTCTTTTTACTTCTGTTTCGGACTCCCCACTACGCTTGGAATACCTGTGTTCTCTAGAAGCTTCCTGACGTTTTTGTATCGCTTGCTTCACTTCTTTGTCCCACCAGCTTTTTGGTCTATGTCCTTGCTTCCCCTTTCGTTTACTCTTAACTTTGTCTAGTTCTAGAGCAAAAAGCCTAGTTAGGCTCTCATAGGTCCAATCTGTATGCCGGTGCCCTGAAACTGCTGCCTCTATTCTTTCAACAACTATTTCCAACTCTTTGTCGCTGCAGAAAGTTTGCTTTGAATTATGTTGTCTAGTTTCAGGATTTACTTCTCTGGCAAAATTCAGCTTAATACGTTTGTGATCACTACCAAGACTTTTGGAACCTTCTTCATCTATTTTCATTACTTGTAACTTACCATATATTTTGTGTGACATGAGTACGTAATCTATAGTTGAATGCAGATTGCCAGTTTCCCAAGTTATGTGCCCGTCACACTTCTGACTGGTATTACATAAAACTAAGTCATGTTTTTCCACCAGTTCTAGTAATATGCTTCCAGTTGAGTCCGTATACCCATCCAGACCCTCAATATGGGCATTCATGTCTCCCATAATAATTATTTCGGAGCCTTCCCCTAGTTCACTAATGTCTCTTGATATGCAATCAATCATTTTTCTGTTTTCCTCTTTAGCACCTGTCCCTGTCCATAAGTAAACCACTCCAAGGACTGTTGATTCCCCAGCGACTTTTCCTTTCAGCCACAAATGTTCGGCGCACTCCTTTCTGATCCGTTGAAAGTTCATATTCTTCTTAATAAATGCTCCAATTCCACCTCCCTTCCTCGTTCCCTCCATTCTGTTGCATTCTTCCCACACATAGTCAGGGTTGCAAGGTGGCTGCTCCATGTCTCTGAGATGTGTTTCCACAAACCCATACACCATTAAATCCTCCTTTCTTAGTTGCTCCTCTACCTCTTCCCATTTTAACCTATTTCTACCACCCTGCATGTTAATATATCCAATGTCTGATTGTGCTGTTTTTTTATACCTGTTCTTACGTTTTCTCCTCTTTTTAACCCTGGGTGCCTCTCCTGACTTCGTTGGGTTTTCAATTACTTCAGTGCCCCCAGGGCCCTCGGTCCCCCCAAAAAAGCAGTCACCGTGCGGCC